TCCCAGGCCTTGTGCTGGCTCCCTGTGGAGATGCTGGGCTGGCAGCCCTGAGGTTGTGGTGAGGAGAGTCTGGCTTGGCCTGGTCCACCTGATTTCAGGTGTTCCAGCCTCCCTGCCTTCCCTCCTGAGGCTGTTCCTGACCTCTGCCCTCCTGTTTCATGTTCTACAAGGCACACACCTGCGTCCCCCTTGCTGGAGTTGTCTGGATGCATCTGCCGCCACCCCCTCCCAACCCCTGGGGGGTCCTGCTTTGCTTCTGTGTGTGACATATATGACACTGTTGTCCCATACTGGAACCCTCCCTTCCAACCCTGGTGATGGCTGCTCCAGGCTGGCTCTCTGGCCCTAGGCTCCTCTGTTACTCCTCTTCTGGTGCAGGCTCAGACTGCAGCTGCTTCCTCTGGCTGGGTGCCTCCCCTCAACCACCTATAGGACATGCCATTCATCAGATACCTCAGCCACCCCTTTTCCTTTCCCTGAAAGCTTCCCTTCCAGTTCCTATTGCCATCATTGGCACCATCTCATTATGTTAGTTAATTACTGTAGGTTTGTTACCACCCCCCACCCCGTCACCCTCTCCAGCTCCTGGTCCTGCCGCAATACCCCCCTCAGTGTCCCCTCTGCATGCCCCTTCCTAGCCTGGGGCCTGCCTGGCTTATGCAGCAGCCTTGAATGGAACCCTCCATCCCCACCACCACCGCCACTGTCTCAGGCACTATCTCAAACTTCTCAAATCCCATCTGCATCCTGCCTCATTTCTCCAAAACCACCATTCATCCCCTTTTCCTCCCATCTGGATCTTCTCTGGGTGACAGGTCACATGATACAAGAAAACTGCAATTCTGGGTTCTGTTCCTACCCTGCCACTCTTTGCTGTGTGTTCCGGTGAGGTCGTCATACCTCTCTGAACATCAGGTGCCTCACTGTCTAGACCAGGGCTGGGGAGAGCATCTGCCTGCCGTGGCATCATGAGGTTGGGGCACTGGAGTACTTGAGGGTTTGGAGCTGAAGACTTCGCCCCTCTCTGCCCTGTGGCCCCTGGACAGGACAAATCACTTGGCTGTCAGCTTCAGACCATTCCAGGCTTACTGGAATGCCTGTGGGTGCAGAGGTGTGAGTCTGAACGGGATCCCTGTGCCATGGCACTGCCCTGTAGACCAGCTCACCTTCAGCCACCCTGTCAGCCCCAGGTGGAGGGTGAGTGGTCCTAGGTGCCCTCCCAGCCTCTCTGTCCCCCAGCTTCAGAGCTGCCCTAACTAGTTCCTTCCTTTTTCTTTATTTTTTTAAAAGATTTTATTTATTTATTCATGAGAGACACCGAGAGAGGCTGAGACACAGGCAGAGAGAGAAGCAGGCTCCCTGCAGGGAGCCCGATGTGGGACTCGATCCCAGAAGCCCAGGGTCATGACCTGAGCCAAAGGTAGATGCTCAAACATTGAGCCACCCAGGCTCCCATTCTTCCTTTTTCTTTAATGAACCCATTGTGCGCATTAGCACAGGGATCTTTGATTCCAAGAAGTGACCTGGGCCCTGGTCAGAGGGACAGAAAGACCTCATGGCAGGCAGGTCAGGCTGGATATGGGAAGAGGTAGGTCCGACCTAGTAGCCTCTGGTCAGGCCCTCCTGGCCCAGTGGGGGTTGTTGGGTGACTGGGGACAATAGAATCTGCGGGTCCTCATTCTCATTTGTGCCATTTTTGTGTGCTGGGACTCCCAGGGCAGGACAGGGGGGGTGAGCATTGCTGCATCCACCCTCCCTTGTGTGTTTCCTGGGGAAGTGACCCGCTGGGGCCTTTCCTGTGTAAACTGCTGTGGGCTCTAGGCAGCAGAGCCAGCTTCAAGGTGGGGGATGTTGGATGCTCCCACTTTCCTCTGACCTTGACTTTTATAGTCTCCTGCCCCTAACCTCTCCCAGTGGCCCTGGGTCCTGCTACAGGCCTTCCCTGTAGCGTATTCTGAACTCTGGACTCTGTTTGTGTAGGAAGTGGGGGCTGAGAAGGTCCGAGCAGAGGCCCGTGGACCTGGCCTGAGGGGCAGGGAGGGGATGTGGTGCAGAAGAACTTAAGTGGAAGCCCATGCTTGTCTGAGGAGTGAGTTCCCCAGCACCACGGGCATTCCATTCGAGGTTTTCCAGCCCCTGGTCCAGGATGCTGAAGTGTGTGAAGACAGAGGATACTGGCTTGGCTGGATCTATGGGGCTTGGGGTCCCTCGTTCCTCTGAAATTTCTGAGTTGCCTCATGGCCCAGAAGTGCGAGGTGGGGCCTGCAGATTCCCACTTCCCTCCCAGTACAGGGCAAGCCCATCTTTCCTGAACCCCCAGCCCAGGCATTGAGCAGTTGGTGACTGCCAGGTGGTCCTATTCTACCCACGCTTTCTGCCATTAGGATTTTCAGGTTGGGCTTTTATGCTGGGGATGGGGGCAGAGCCTGTTGTCTCTGGCTGCAAAACTGGGCCCTATCTTTCCCAGAAGTGGGCTGAAGTGAGAGCCTGTTGGGAAAATGATGGGGGACAGTCCAGCCATGACCCCAGCCCCTACCCTCGGGACCAGCAGGAGAGTTAGTGTCTTTCACTCTAGTGGGAGGCCCAGACCACACTGGTGGCCCTCGTGGGAGGCACTGGGGGTCTTTTTCTCCTAGGCAGGGGCGTGGGTGATGTCTGGGATGATGTCCTTACAGAGGAAAAGACACCAGGGCTGGGTGTCTAGAACCTGGGATCCTGCCCTGTGGCCCATGCTGTCCCTGCTGGTTACCCCTATCCTTGGCCCACGTTTCTGGCTCATCATGTTGAAGCATTCAGCTCCTGAGTTGGAGTCTGCTGTCCCTATCAAACCTGAGCAACTAGGGCCATCTAGCCTCTCTCACCTGAGGGATTGGCCCTGGTCCCCTGCTGAGCTGGGAGCCTGATGTGATGCAGTGCTGGATCCCAGGACTTGGAGATCATGACCTGAGCCCAAGGCAGACTCTCAGCCATCTGAGCCACACAGGAGCTCCTCCTCCAGATTTTTACTCACATCCCACAGGTAGGAAGCAGCTTCAGAGAACTATAGTGCCATTCATAGGGCTGGTGTGTAAGTACCCAGCTCAGAGCCCAGTGTGGACCTGGCCTTGTCTGCCTCTGGCCTCTGCTCGCAGCCACAGCTCCCCCAGTCTGGCCTGCCCTCCTGGGAGGCAGTTTCTGGGCCTGAGCAGAAGCTGAGAAGTCAGTCGGGCCAGAATTGGGTCAGATTTCCCTGCTGCAGCCAAGGAAGAGTCTCCCAAGTCTGCCTAGGACCAGCAACTCTTGATCTGGAGACAGATGCGCTGATTCCATCCTCAGCCCCCACCTACCAGGCGGGGGATGCTTTGGGTCTAGACCGAAGCCCTGGCTGCCTAGACAAGTTTTGCACCTTTCAGACACTCTGTCCCTCATCTGTAGGATGGGGACAGTCCCATGAATGACATCAAGAGCTGTAAATGAAGGACATGAGCAGAGCAGCCAGGTGGCACCTGGCACAGTGTGAGTCCACTGGGTGTAGACCCCAGTCCAGGGCCACTGTAGCACTGCCGCAGCTCCTCCTCGAGCCTCAGGAGCCCCTTGCCAAGGGAGGACCCTCTCCCCCTCCCACCACACACACACGAAGGTGTTAGGAAGCATCCCTGTCTGGATAGACACTGTAGATGGAGAAATAGATGTGTTTCCCCACGTCATCTGTCAGAGCCTTGGGTCCCTGCCGGTCAGGACCCAGCCAAGGAACCATGAGGCCGCAGTCTGGGCCCGTTCCAGAGCAGAGGGCAGGCTGGGCTGGGTGTAGGGACAGAGCTACATGAAAGGTTGGGAATGGACTCATTGCTGGGGTCCCTGGGCACCCAGTCCCTTTGTGTTCCCTGGGGGGGAGACTGAGGCTTAGGGGCAGCTTGGTGACTGTCTCAGGGTCCTGGTGACAGGAGGGACTGCTCTCTGGTCTTGCTTTTCACACTTTTCCCTGAGAAAGCCTGAGTCCCATGACCCCTTGGCCTTGTCTTTCCTTCCCACTGTATGGGCCCCCCCTGAGCCCCCTCCACTCCCCCCCATCCCCCACCCAGCCCCTCACCCTCACCCTCAGCATAGCCACAATGGCTCCAAAGCTGCTGGCTCAGGAGCCACCAGCTTTTGCTGAGTGAGCAAGTCCAGAGGTGCTGTCTTGGCACAAACCACTGTTGGCTGAGCCCTCTCCCTTCCTGTCTCCCTCCCTCGGCAGGGTCTGTTGCAAAGGGGGAGGGTGGGTGTGGGGGTTTGTGGATGGACAGTGTGTGGGGGGGAGGCGGGGACAGAGGCTGCTGGCCGGGGCACCACCCCTAGGGTCTTCCGCTTCAGGGAGAGGAGGGTCCTGAGGCCCAGAGTGGGGTGTTTGAGGTCATGAGGCCAACCGGCGAGCGCCACCCGTGGAGGGCCAGGACCGCGCCCCGCCAGGTTCAGGGCACAGGAAGGCAGTGGGCCCCGTCCCGGCTGTTTGACAGAATCTTCCTGCCCCATCTCCTGGGCCTGGCTGCGTCCTCCCTCCCCTCCTGCCCACCCTGAGTGGGGTAGGATTTGCATCAAATCTGCATTAACAATAGCCTAGAAGGCAGTTCCTTTAAGAGCCTTGTGTGTGCCAGGGTTTTGTGCACGTCAGATCCGCTTGGTGACCCTCGAGGTAGAGCCGTGGCAATGGTCCCCCGCCTTGTAGAAATGGAGACCCAACGCATTTCATCATCTGCTGGACGAACACAGACTGAGCACTGGCTCTGTGCCGATCCCAGCCCTAGGCCCTGGGCTGGAGAGGGGGCTGGCACAGATGAAGGAGTCCTGTCCCTGCCCCAAGGAGACCCTGTGTTGGGTCATCCTGCCCTGGTGACAAGCCAGTGGCAGCCTTGCGGGTAGGGTTGCTGTTTTACAGAGGGGCCCAGGGCAGGCTCAGAGTGGCAGGCGTGTTGCTCAGGGCTGGTCCTTGGCCCAACGCTGGGGCTCCGAACCCCACCCTGTGTTTGCTATTTGCCTCACAGCCAGCCCCACCCAGACGAGGGCCACCCGCCGCCCCTTGAAACCGTCCCGGTCTCCTGGAAGGGCTGCAGGGAGTCCCCAAGAGGCCTGGCAGAGAACCCTGTTGGGGAGGAGGCCCAAGGTGAGGAGAGCCCCACGGCTGCCCAGCTGGACGTGTTGCGCCTGCGAAGCTCTTCCATGGAGATCCGTGAGAAGGGCTCAGAGTTCCTGAAGGAGGAGCTGCACAAAGCCCAGAAGGTGGGGCTCTGGGGGTGGTAGGGCTCGGGGCCTACCTGGAGGCTCCCTGAGCACCCAGGGAGCCCAGCCTCCCTGTCAGGGCCACCTGCCTGCACAGATGCTGGGGCTGGGCCTGAGGGAGGCACAGAGGAGAAACAAGTGCTTGTGACTTCTGGAGGATTTTTTAGGAGTCTTGACTTCTCCGAAAGCCCATTCTAGGCAGTTGGGGTTTCAACATCATGCCACAAGCTAAGTGGGAACTGCGTCGTCAACTGCAGGGCGACAGAGGAAGGGGGGTTGGGGCCCAGGGCCAAGGAAGAGGACCCCCTGGTGGAGCCTGATCAGTCGGCCTGGAGCCCCAGGGGGCTGACAGCCACTCTCCCCAAACCCCCCAGGAGCTGCAGCTGAAGGACGAGGAGTGTGAGCGGCTGTCCAAGGTGCGGGAGCAGCTGGAACAGGAGCTGGAGGAGCTGACGGCCAGCCTGTTTGAGGTACTGTGGCCTGCTGGCTGGGGGACAGGTTGGGGAGCAGGTCTGTGGGGGTGCGCTGGCCCCTCATCACTCACGCAGAGCCTCCCTTCTTCCCAGGAAGCCCACAGAATGGTGCGGGAAGCCAACATGAAGCAGGCAGCGTCAGAAAAGCAGCTGAAGGAGGCGCGGGGCAAGGTGAGGTCCCCACCACTCAGGCCCAGCCAGAGCCCCTATCTGGCCTTCCAGCCCCTCGAGTCAGCTTTGGCTACCTGATCGGACCCTCGCACCCTTGCATGTCCCAGGGTTGTGGGGCAGTGGGGATGGGCAGACCCTGCGGCCTAGGAAAGTGAAGCGGGGGTCTGAGATGCTACGGCTGAAATCCAACTCCCCAGCACTCGGGCAGTATTTCCAGTGCACCAGAGACCTTTCTGGGGCTTACAAGGGCGGGGAGGATCCTGTAGTCCTTACAATCTCTTTCCTGCCTGCCATACTCTCCTTACAAAGCAAAAACCTTGTCTGGCCATGTGAGCCAGGGCAGGGAAGTTCTTCCTCTTTTCGGAGTCTGTTTGCACGTCTGTCAAATGTGAGGGCTGGGTAGTTCCTGGCTCCTGGGCCCCTTGGTGGGAGGCCCAGCCACCTCCTGGACAGGTGCCTCCCACAGAGCCCTGGCATACTATGTGACCTCGGGCAGGCCACAGTTCCTCTCCAAGCCTCCCTGGCCCTCTCTAAAGTGGAGGTCTCATGCTGTTCTAAGGATGACAGGCCGGGTTACATGCCAGTCACTGCTGGGACAGGTTATCCTGAGCTGGGGTGGCTGGCGGTTGGCAGCCCACATTAGGCCTTGACAGCCATCTCATCCCGGCCAGATCGACATGCTGCAGGCTGAGGTGACCGCCTTGAAGACCCTGGTCCTCACATCCACACCAGCCTCTCCCAATCGCGAGCTGCACCCACAACTGCTGAGCCCCACCAAGGCTGGACCCCGCAAGGGCCACTTGCGACATAAGAGCACCAGCAGCGCCCTTTGCCCCGCCATGTGCCCCACTGCCGGACATCCCCTCACCCCGGACAAGGAGGGCAAAGAGGTGAGGGGTGGCAGGAAAGGGAGACACGGTGTCAGTGTCAGCCAGGCAGGGGGGCCCAGTGGGGAGTCCTGACCCCTCGCTGTGTGACCTGGAGCCTGGCCTGCCATCTCTGGGTCTCTGTGACCCCTCTCTGGGAGGGCTTGGCAGGTTTTTTGTGATAGGAGGTTTGGCCCTCAGCCTATGAATGTACCGTGTGTACCCCTCCTGTGTACCATGAGGGCCTGGTAACCCCTCCACAACCCTCCAGTAGTAGGTGGTATTCTGTGCACCTGAGACTGGCCTGGAGCCTGGGGGTCTGGCCTAGGTGAGGGGGATGGGGAGAGTTCTTCAGGAAGACATATTCACTGAGCCTAAAGAGGCCACTGCTGGGCCTCTGGGGACAAGCTGCTTGGGCCCTGCATGCCCATAGCCCTGAGGTCCAGGACCGGCTTGTGACATCCCTGGATTTGAAGGTCCTCAGTGCCTCTGGCTGTGGTACCTGGACAAGCACAGACTTTTGGGGCTGTCTCCCTCCCTGCCTCTGAGCTGGGTACATGGGGTACTTGGTCCAGGCGGGCAGTGGGCTCTGATGTCCTTGGCCGTAGGTCTTTGGGCAAGCAAAGGCACCTGCCAGAGCCTCAGCTTCCTCACATAAGTAGCGTCTCCTGGGGCCATGCAGACCCACAAGACCGGGGTGTTGGTTGCTCAGCTTAGGGCTGCACCCAGTGAACCCTACCAGGGCTGCAGGGGGACCCAGGCTCCTGTGAAGCAAGGCGGCCACCATCTCCATGCTGCCCCTTGTCTCTGGGGCTTCCAGGGAGAAAGCGCAGGCTAGGCCTCTCCCCCATTTCTGAGTCCTCGGCTTCTAACTGGACACTAACATCTCCTCCCTACTGTCTGTTCTGTCTCTGCATCTGTCCGTCTGTCTCTCTGCATCTGTCCGTCTGTCTCTCTTTATCTGCCCCTCACCCCAGCCTGGGCTGCCCCCCTTCCTCTCCCTGCTCCTCTGCGTGGTCCCCAGCAAAGCTGTTCAACTCACCTATGAGCCAGCCTGGCAGCTCCTGCCTGGGGAGCCACCTACGGCCCCCTCCTCTGCTACCTCTTTCTCCTTTTCCCAACAGGTAATAGCTCTGGAGAGGGGCCGCCCCTCTGCCCCCCGCCCAGCCTCATTCTCGCTGCACATGCCCCAGGGCAACCAGCTAGTCATCCGTGCCCAAGGAGGCAGCCCGTGTGTGTTCCTTCTATGTGCGTGGGCCTGTGTGTGCCATGGTACCTGCGTGTGGGGGGTACCTGCAGGGCCAGTCTTCAGCTTTTCCTCCTTCAGGAGGCAGAGAGGTTGTTAGGGACGAGGCCCTGGACCAAAGTCTGTAACCTCATAGAGCCGAGAAGCTAAAAGCACACCTAGATATGAAAGCTTGAGTTCTGAGGCCTTCAGTGCAGAGGGAAGGAAATAGTTCTTCTTTGGAACTCTGCCCCCCTGCTTAGCCACTGGGGACAGACCCGCTGGGAGGCTGGGGCCTGCCCTGCAACCCTCCTGGCCCCTTACCTCATTCAGTTCTGCCTATCCCTGCCATGCTGCCCCCCTGCCCCCCGACCCGGCATCTGACTGCCCCATCAGGCTCACCCTCCCCCACAGGTGGACACAACCCTATTCGCAGAGTTCCAGGCCTGGAGGGAGTCACCCACCCTGGACAAGACCTGCCCCTTCCTCGAGAGGGTGTACCGGGAGGACGTGGGCCCCTGCCTGGACTTCACGATGCAGGAGGTGAGGCAGAGGGCAGCTGGCCCCAGGCCCAGCCCCTCACGGAGGCCAGCCCCTCACTGACCCACCTGCTGCCCTGCTCTGCCACAGCTCTCAGCACTGGTACGGGCCGCCGTGGAGGACAACACGCTCACCATCGAGCCCGTGGCCTCGCAGACACTGCCTGCAGTGAAGGTGGCTGCAGTCGAGTGTGGCAGCACCAAGTGAGCTTGGCGTCCTTCCTCCTTTCCTGCCCGCCATACCTAGCCTGATGCTCTGCCAGCTGGGGACTGAGCCTCAGGCCTGCCTCCTAGGGTCCTGGTGTGGGTCCTGCAGAGGGTGTGGCTGGGGACTGAGCCTCAGGCCTGCCTCCTAGGGTCCTGGTGTGGGCCTGCAGAGGGTGTGGCTGGGGACTGAGCCTCAGGCCTGCCTCCTGGGGTCCTGATCTTGCAGGGAGTAGTGGCTGAGGACTGAGCCTCCTGGTGTGGGTCCCCCGTGGGTGAGGGGGCGCACAGGCCTGGCTGGGGAGGATTGCAGAGGCATGCAGGGTGGGGAGGCATCTCTGGCAGAAATTCCTGCCTCTAGTCATAGATCCTCGGGCCTTCCGGGGAGCCCGGGAACTGGAGCCTCCCTCTTCTTGGCTGGCCTGACAGGCATCTCTCTCCCACAGTGGGTTCTGGGCTCCGACTGATGTGTAAGTGATGTCAGCTGCCAGCCCCCCTTGTGCTAATAAATAACCAAACAGCCCTGGCATCTTGTCCTTCCTGCCATTCAGCTGCCATCGAGCAGGACTCACAGCAGAACAAAATAGCTAGGGTGGGGCAAGGGGCAGAGATGGGGAGCACTTTACTTCGGCAGCCCAGGATTTGACCTGCCAGGGATGCCCCACTGGGGTAGACTTGTCACAGAGGGGAACATTTGAGCTGGGTTTTGAAGGATGGATAGGAGTTTGCCAAGTAGGGAAGGGCCTTTCAGGCAGAGGGAAAAAAAATGAATGAAGGTTTGAGAAGCTGGGGTATTAACGGAAACATCACTGGATTTGTGGGCAGAGCAGTAGGTGGGTAGGGAGATAGGGCTGAGGCTGCAGAGGCTGTTTGGGGCCAGAGTGTAAAGGGCCTTGAATGGGGTTTGGGCTTTGACCCATTAGGCCAGCATTTCACAAAATCATCAATAGACGTTTCCTGAAAAGAGGGCTGCTGAATCCAATCAGAGTCCCAGTGAACCTGGAGACAGCAAGGCACTGACAAGTCCTGCAGCCAGGAGCCTCCTTAACCTTCCTCTGCTCCAGAGTCTCCATAATGGTTTCCTGGGCAGTAGGAAAATGGCAGGGAAAGATGATGAGCTAGATGGGAGCTTTTGAAGGAGCCCCTGGCTGTAGTGCAGAGAAGGGGAGAGGCAAGGCAAAGGGCTGGTTGGAGGATCCGAAAGGATTCAAGCAAAAGCCCCTGCTAGCATGACCTTGCCTGAGGACTTGCTAGCCAAGTGGAGGAGAGAGTGGACTCGTTCAGTTGGGGAAGGAGTGACGAAGTCCAAGGGCCCCAGTAAAGTAGGAAGTGTGTTTGGAGGGCCTGCAGAGAGTGGAGCATTGGTATACCTGGCATGAGGTTGACAGAGCTCTCCTGCCCTCCAGGGGCAGCATAGGTGGTTGAGGGGTGGGATCCAGCTTAGGTCAGAGGCCTGTCCCAGGTCCCTCCTTGGCCTGGCCCTGGGGTCCTGGGGAAGCTGGGGTCGAGGGAGAGAATGCCAGACTGCACACCTCAGTCTGCTGGCCTCTCCCTTCCTCTGTGCATGCTTGGTGCATGAGCCGGGCAGGCAAGCCCCCCCCCCGGCCCTCATGGCCCCCTCTGCTTTCTTCTAGCACCTGTGCCCTGAGCGGACTGGCTCGTGCCTGTCGCCACCGAATCCGGCTTGGGGACTCTGAGAGCCACTACTACATCTCGCCGTCCTCCCGGGCCAGGGTGAGTCATCCAGAAGGAGTGTCACCTGGCTTCTTAGGGGCAACTGGGGCTGGGACGCTGGTCCCTAGGCCTGAGAGCGCAACCTTGATCTGCAGAGTAGGGCCTGGGCTCAGAGAGATCTGGAGACTGGCTCAGACCACGTAGCCAAGCCTGGTGAATTAGTTGGTGCATAACCAGTTACCGTAAACGGAATGGCTTAGAACAACCCCCATGTATAACTGTGGTCTCCCCAGGGCAGAAGTCAGCCTAGTTTCGCGGGTTCTTCTGCTCAGGGCCTCATGGGCTTGCGGTCAAGGAGCAGGTTGGCCGCGTCCTTCCTTGGAGACGGTGGTCCTCTTCTGAGCTCACACGGCTGTTGGCAGGATTCAGTCCCTGTTGGCTTGCCGAAACCTAATCGTGGGAGTGACATTAGAATTCAGGTTAGGGCAGCCCGGGTGGCTCAGTGGTTTAGCGTCGCCTTCAGCCCAGGGCGTGATCCTGAAGACCCAGGATCTAGTCCCACGTCGGGCTCCCTGCATGGAGCCTGCTTCTCCCTCTGCCTGTGTCTCTGCCTCTCTCTCTCTCTCTTTCCCCCCTCTGTCTCTCATGAATAAATAAATAAATCTTAAAAAAAATAATAATTCAGGTTAAAGTTCCAGGTTCCTGCCTCCCAGCTCAGGCTCTGGCCCCAGGCTTTTGGGAAGGTTCTGGGGCATGTGTGTTACTCGAACCTGACAGCCAATGGTGGGTGCCACAAGGCTTCCAGGAATCCCAGAGTCTGCCCTCACTTGCCAAGTGGCACAGGTGGGGTCAGTGGACCTCACTGAGCTGGGGGGTGAGGGGTGATAAGGTGGGGTGGTCTCCGTTCCTCTGTCCCCTGAGAAACTGTGAACAGGATTGTGAAGAACCAAAGAGAATGCATTAGAAGATTTTGAAGCTTGGTGCAAAGGTGACACTGCATGGGGCCCTGTTTGAGGAACCATCTCCCATCCTTGACCTACTAGAGAGTGCTCATTGAAGGGACAGATGGCCCCATTGTTGGGCAGCTTGTATGGTCCTGACAGCTTCTGCAGGGCATCTGGAATGTTGTCCTGACACATCCCACAGCAGTGAGCCAAGCTCCTGTTTGTGGGTGGGGAGTCTGTGCCTTAGAAAGGAGGGTGTGAGGGATGCTTGGGTGGCTCAGCGGTTGAGCATCTGCCTTCAGCTCAGGTCGTGATCCCGGAGTCCCAGGATCGAGTCCCACATCAGGCTCCCTACATGGAGCCTGCTTCTCCCTCTGCCTCTCTCTCTCTCTCTCCATGTCTCTCATGAATAAATAAATAAAATCTTAAAAAAAAAAAAAGAAAGAAAGGAGGGTGTGTGTGGCCTAGACCTGGGGCCTCCCCATTCTGCACTCAGTCTGCCTTCCCTTGCAGCCTCTGCCCTGCACTTCTGTGCCCCGAGCCCTTTCCAATGGTCTCTCTCTGATCCCTACCAGGGCTCAACAGAAGGAGCCGCGCCATTCGGTCCCTGGCAAAATTATATCTAGAACTGTGTTTCTTCCAGGCCTGCTTGTCTCTGCCGGGCAGAGCTAGGATGGGAGATGAGGATGGTATGAAGTTTTAGGATGTAGTCTCCACCCTAAAGAGACTAAGGAATGTGGCATTCTTAGGGAGAAGAGGTTTCTTTTTAATATTTTTTTCAAAGATTTTATTTATTCATGAGAGACAGAGGGAGAGGCAGAGACACAGGCAGAGGGAGAAGCAGGCTCCATGCAGGGAGCCCAATGTGGGACTCGATCCTGGGTCTCCAGGATCATGCCCTGGGCTGACGGCTCCAAACCGCTGAGCCACCCAGGGATCCCTCTGTTTAATATTTTTTTTAAAAAAGATTTTATTAAAAAAATAATAAAATAAAAAGATTTTATTTATTCATGAGAGAGAGAGACAGAGGCAGAAGGAGAAGCAGGCTCCTTGCAGGGAGCCTGACGTGGGACTCAATCCCGGGACTCCAGGATCACTCCCTGCACGGAAGGCGGATGCTCAAACACTGAGCCACCCAGGCATCCCTAATCTTTTTTTTTTTTTTTAAGATTTTTATTTATTTATTCATGAGAGACACAGAGGGGCAGAGACACAGGCAGAGGGAGAAGCAGGCTTCCCACGGGGAACAGTACAGCCCTGGGGAAAGAACTCAACTGCTCGCTGCCACTGCTTGCTCACCAGCCTCCTCTCATGGGGGCCCATGGACCCTTGGGAAACACCACAGCCTGACACACAAGCTTCTCCTGCCCCACCCTCTGCCCCCCACCCCAGCCCACTGCAGCCCCTCCTGAGCCACACTGGGTTAGTCCCTTGACTTGGGCACCCCCCCCCACCATGCTTCCCTGCTTTTGCCAGGGCCACCAATGCCCCTGCACCCACTTCATTCTCCTGGCAAGGATTCCTATGTGTTGAGGGCCTCCAGGACTGTTGCCCCCTTGCTGTAACTCTGGACCCCGTGGGCTCCCACACACTTGAAGTCTCTCCCCAGAGTGCTGATGTTCAGTCAGTGCTGTCGTGGGCACAGCTGCCAGCTGCCTTCTGCCCTGTCTTACATGGGGTTCCCTAGAAGCTGAGCCGAAGATGAAGATCTCATGCCATTCTTAGGAGGAGGGAGGGAAACAATAGGGGGTCGGGTGGGTAAAGGAGGCTATGGCCTCAGCTGGAGTCTGGCTGCAACCCGCTCCATGGGGGCTCTGGAGCCCAGGGTGGGTTCCACCCTGAGACAAGGGAGCTGGCCTCTTACATGCTGCATGCCAGCCAATACGTGGTACGGAGGGATACTGATGAGCCGCCAGTGGCCGGCAGGCTTCAGCAGTGGGAAGAGGCCTGGGCAAGGTACCAGCAGCACCCTCTTTGCAGTAGGAGAGTCTTCATGGAAGGGCCCACGTCTGAGCCAATGTGGGGTCCATGGTGCCCAGCACAGGGCCTGGCATGGAGCGGGCCTCCGGCCAGGTTGAGGGCTTCAGGCCTGGGGATCCAGGGCAGCCCCAGGGAGCAGCTTCTGATCTCCCTGGAGCAGCGTTCCAGGGAGGCCAGGGCCTTGGGCACCCAGAGCAGGCAGGGCCCTCAGGATGAGCGGGGACTCTAGGGCAGGCTGCTTGGTTTCATTTTCCAGCTCAGTCACTTAACTATCTCTGTGGCCCCTGTAATTGTCATCTGGTAGCTCTGTTTCTGGAGTCTGTTTTCCTCATGTGTAAAATGGGAATGATATGCGTGTCTGCCTCCCTGGGTGCAGGTGCTGGATCAAATGTTAGTTGCTGCTATTGTTTTTATTGGGAGTGGTAATAACAGCACTGTCAGTAATTAAATTATTTTAAAGCTTTTTTGTTTTGTTTTCTTAAGATTTCTTATTCATTTGAGGGAGAGAGAAAGAGAGAGCACAAGCAGGGGGAGGGGCAAGAGGAGAAGCAGACCCCCCACGGAGCAGGGAGCCCAAGGCAGGCTCTGTCCTGGGACCCTCGCATCATGACCTGAACCATCCAGGCGCCCAATAATCAAATTTTAAAGCCCAGCCCCGTTCAACTCAGGGAGCATTATCTAGCTCTGATGCAACGTGAGGTCTCCCACTCTGGTCTCCGATCTGCCCTGGCTCTTGGGGGGGACCCTGAGCGTGAGAGCCTGCGGGTCACAGTCTCCCGGCTTCTGCTCACAGATCACCGCAGTGTGCAATTTCTTCACTTACATCCGCTACATCCAGCAGGGCCTGGTGCGGCAGGAAGGTGAGCGCCCCCTGGTGGCCCCTGGGAGGGAGCGGGAGGGCCGTGGCGGTGGGGTCAACTTGGGGCGGGCTGGGGAGGACTCTGCTAGGACTCCGTCCCACTGCCTTCTCCACCCAGAAACTTCTCCAAGACACCAGGGCCCGTGGGGATTGCTCCCTATGAGTGGCCTGGCCTTGGAAGCCTGCACGATGGGGTGTCCCTTGTGGATCTCCCCACTGGGGGCGGGCTGGGCTCTTCATGCTGCCACCTCCCACTTCACCCTTGACCAGCAGGCCCTCCATCTACTTGTTGTCCCCTCTACCCCTGTTCTGCAAGGCTCAGCATCCCGCTCCTTTCCCAAACTTGGTTTCCTGCTGAGTCTTCTCCCGATTCAGTTTTGGAGTCAAGCCTCTCTTTCCTGGCTTGGGGCATCAAGGCCCCAGAGAGGAACTTGGACACATCCCATGGCTCTGCTGACTGCTTAGGGTCTCTGAGACCCCAGGGAGACAGGGTTGGAAGGCGTTTGTAGCCTGCCAGATGGGTATCAACGTGCTTGTGCATGTTGGTATTGGGCTGTAGGGGTGATGCCACCTCGGCCACCAGTGTGGGGGTGCATAGTGTGCTCAGCACTCCACAGTTTTGCAAGGCCTCAGTGTGGAGCCTCAGAGAGGTCCAGCCATTCACAAGGTCACCTGTCCTGGGGGACTGGGAAGCCCTGGGTGCCTGCCAACTGCCCTGTCTGAAGCCAGGGGAGAGGTGCCAGGCCATTGGCCTGAGTCCACCATTACTAAGCTATCCACCTTCTGTCTACCTGCAGTGGAACCGATGTTTTGGGAGATCACGAGGCTGCGGAAGGAGATGTCACTGGCCAAGCTCGGCTTCTTCCCCCAGGAGGCGTAGGGCATGGCCCAGGCCTGGAGGGGAGCTCTGATCCATAGCCAACACCTGCCCCAAGCACAGACAGACAGGAAGACAGGGTCCCAGAGCCAGCCCTGAGCCAGAAGCTGAGCAGATGGACAAATGGCCAGGCCACAGAAGCCTTGCTGAGCTGGTACCAAACCTTCAATCCAGGACAGACGACAGGAGCTCATGAACTGACCCTTCTCTCTTCACCAGTGGCCCTGTAGCCACTGGGAGACCTTCAGGGAAGCACTGAAGACCAAGGATCTTGGGCCCATACTCGGGCTCAGCCCTCGGGAAGGGAAATGTGCATCTGCACCCCCTTTGCAGGCCTGGGAGCTGCTGCTCACAGTGCTTTGTTGCTGCCTCATCCTCAGAAGAGGACCACTGAGGACCACACTGGGTGGCCTGACCTCCAGGGTATCGCCCCCACCTCAGTTCCCGAGCCCTGGGGCACCAGCACCCCCTGGTTGCCATCCCTCATCCATTCCCCGTGGCCTCCCTGTTGGACTGCCTCAATGGGCCCCCGCTGTGTCCAATGTCCGTCAGGAAATGGGGCTGTCAGGGACTCTCACACCAACCTATATCTGCTTGAGGACCATCCCCAAACTGTTCTTCAGATGGATCAGGCACTGATCCTTGCACTTGACCCCATCCCCCACCTGAGCCCATGCCCCAGGAGGCTCTGAGACCCCCACCACCATTGGAAGGATTAGGATGGGTGGGTTTCCCCCAAAGTAAAACTCAGGGCCTCAGGACACCCATGTCTATGTTCAGCTGTGAGTGGCCATTCAGACAATGGGGGTTGAGGCTGCCTTGCCCTGCACACAGGACTGGGGTAGGGTGGGCACACCCCAGGCCCGCTCCTCACCCCGCACAGCCCATTTAGGACTCAGGTCCAACCTGGACACATCCCTCACCACAGCTGATTTCCTTTGAATGGAATGTAACACAATCTCTATTTAATAAAGGAAGGCTTTGTTAGTAGAGGCTGGGCAGCCACGCGCCTTCACTCCTGCACCCCGGGGCTCGGGCCAAGGCTTGGGCATCTGAGGGAATGAAACCAAATCCTTCCCTAGCCTGACCTCGTGCTTGGGATTAGGCCCAAATCCTGAAGGGATTGCTGGAGGGAGTACCACTTGAGTCGTCCCCAGCCGTCTGTGGGGCTGTGGGCTATCAAGGCTGAGCCCGGCTTCCTCTCCGCCACGGGGTGGCCTGCTGTGGGGAAAGCATTGGTGCTGAGGCTGGCTCTCACGCTGTCTCGGGAAAACCTTGAGCACATCTCCCCTCTGGTCCCCTTGTCTTTGACAAAGAGTTGGAATTCAGAGGCAAATTCTTGAGGCTGCTTGGCGAGTGCAGGACAGTGGCAGGATGGGTTGGTGATGTCTGCTGGCAGCAGGGGCAGGGATGTGGGGACTCTGGCTTTCCCAGGCCTGCTCCTAGATGGATTCCTAGCAAGAGCCAATAATCACCAGGTGGACCTGGGGAGGTAGCTTGTGGTTCCAGGTCCCCCCTCCACCTGTGGGGGTATGGGTCCGGGCCCAGGGGTGTCCTGGGAGAAGGGGAGCATAGCAGCTTCTAGGTCAGCCTGTGCTGGGACTGGCAAGGAGGTCCCCACTGGCCTGAGGCCTAAGGGCCACCCAGCTGGGAGTCCATCAAGGCCACCCAGCCTAGCCCTCTTGCCCTCTCCAGCCTTTCAGCTCATGGTCTCCTGCCTCGAAGATTTCCCTGTCTTTCCCTCCCCAACACTGCCTCTCCCCCTCCTCCCTCTTCATCTGTGACTTGAATCCCCTCCCCCTCCTGGCCCCTCAGATACCCATGGGGCAGGTCCCCTGTTACAGACATCCGCTCATCCCCTTGGGGCAGCTCCTCTGCCCCTGATGCTTGTGCAGGAGCTGGGCAACTCAGCAGGGGGGTGGGGGGTGGGGGGGGACACTACATGGCAGGTTGTGTCTCCAAGCCGTCTTTGGGTGGGGCCCGGAAGCGCTTGAGGGGTGTCAGGGAAGGACAGGTGCAGCTGTGTTACCCGGGGTGATCCTGGCATCCTTGTCTGCATACCTGCCTCTTTCTTACTCTCAGTCTGTCCTGGGTCTGCTGGGGGAGAAAGACAACGAGGGTCTGGGCCTGGAGCTGCCCAGCCCTGCCCCCAGCTCCTGTGGCCCTGGGCAAGATACACCAGGGCCTCAGAGAACCAGGCCAGGGTTCAGAGCCCTGGTAGAGAGTCCCACACCCCAGACTCACTGTGCCTGCCCCTGGGGGTAGGGGGTGGGGATTTCCTGTCAGGACGAGTGGGCCGTGGTGGGAAAATAAGAGTGGAGATACTGGGGTGGGGTGCTTGTGAGGGACCCAGGGCCACACAGTCTGGCCTCAGGACCTCCCAACAGTGGCTAATATCTGAGCACTAATATCAGCAGCCCCAGGGCTGGCTCCATGTCCTTTAAGGGACCCAGTGCACTTAACCCTCAGAGCCATCCCGGGAGGTACTACTATTATCCCACTTTGCAGAGGAATCCCCTGAGGCTGCAAGAAGTCACACAGACAAGGGTGCCCCCAGGATAGGAATGTGTGGGCCCAGCTCCAGAGCCAGCATCCAGGACTCCTTTTACTAAACACCTGTCTTGTGCCTGGTGCTAGATGAGTCCCCTCCCTGTTTTTCAGAGTCTCAGGCAGTAGCAGAATGGGATCTTCATTAGGTTTGTTTCCCCCATTTTTATCTGGTTTCAGCTGCCCTCACCCCCCACTCTTCAGGCTGCTGGGGTTGGGGGTGAGGCTTTCTGGAGGGAGGGGCTCAGGGCTATGGCTCTTGGAGAGGAGGGTCAGCCATCAGCCAGACAGGAGTTTTTCCCATAAGTGCATTTTCTAGAGAACTCAGGCCTCTCTTAAGTGCACCTGGCACATGTGGCCACATCTTAAAAGCTAGCTCCAACAATGGCCATTGAGCCTGAGCCTAGCTGCACAGCGGCCTTCCATGTTCTCCTACTGGGTCACGTTTTACAGCCTTCCACACCTGCCCTGATTTGATGCTGCCCGGACTGTGGACCTGGGCAACGGGCTCCTCTCTGGGCTTCAGTTTGCTCCTCTGTGAGTTGGGAAGACGACCACATGACCTTGCAGCAGCTCCCCACCCCTTCTTCACTTACTGTGGTAAAAAGAACATACGATTTACCTTCTCCATCCATCCACCCCTTCCTTGCTGGGCATTTGGGTTGCTTCCACCTATCTGCTACTGTGAACAATGCTGCGATGAACACAGGGGTGCAGTTATTTGTTTGAGGACTTGCTTTCAGTTCCCTTGGATATTAACTGAGAGGTGGGAACGCCAGATTATCTGTGGTCGTTCCATCTTCAATTTTCTGAGGAACCTCCACACCGTCTTCCATAGAAGTGGCACCATTTTATGATCCCACCAACAGGGTACAGGGGTTCCGGTTTCTCCACATCCTCACCAAAGTTTGTTATGTTGGCAGTTTTTAAATAATTTCCATCCTACGAAATACCATATTGGATGCCTGAAACTAATATAACACTATGTTAACTACTTGGAAATTAAATAAAAAATTTTTAAAAGCCAAACAAAAAGTTCCCATCCTAATGGCTGTGAGGTGATACCTCATTGTGGTTTCAATGTGCATTTCTCTCATAATTGGTGGCATTGAGCATCTTTTCAAATGCTCATTGGCTACTTCCAAGCAGCTGGTTCTCACTAAGGGGCATCATCGGGAGGAGCCCTGTGTACCACAGTGATGCCTTCAGGGAGAGACTTGCGTGGCTGCTTGTAATTCTGTGGCTCCCGGCCCCCCTCAGACGGCACCCTTTACAGAAAAGTCATGTCCAGGGACTAATAACCAGGCCCACAGTGTGTGGTGAGCTTTAAGTCAAAATCAAGTTGCAAAGCTCTGACTTCAGCCCACTTTTTGTCTGCTGTGGAACACATGCCTAGATTATGTGACTGTTCTTTCTGGTTGGCTATAGAGCTCCCCGTGCCCCCACCCCCCGCCCACCTCCAGACACACAACGGGCCTCCTGCTGCACCTCTTGTCTGAGCCCTGCTGGCCTGCACAAATATTGTTTGGTTCCTTGGCAGTGGCTAGTGGTTCCGTGGGGGTGGGGTGGGGGGGGTGGAGACTTGAGCGTGTCCAAAAGGAGGCCTGTGTGCCAGCCAGCTCATGGCCAGGAGAAGCTCTGCAGGGGCTGGGCCAGGGGCCAGCCACTGGTTTGAGGGGCTCCCCTTAAACCTCCAGCACATGATGCCCGCCCTCCCTTGCCTTCTGGTTAGTTCTCCCCTCCCCCTGCCTCAACCCGATGCCAGGCTGGCCCAATGGCAGCTCAGGAATGTCAAGTGGAGCCTCTCCCTTTCAAGTGGTCTGAGAGGCCTGATGCCCTGACAGGGAGGGTGCAGGGATGGGGATAACAGAGTCTCAACTTCTCCCAGACCCCCTGATTTTAGGAGAATTGCACGGTCCACTGGGTTGAAGCCTGGAGTGGTAAAGTCCCCTATGGAAAGCCCCTAGGCCTGCAAAGAAACGCTGTGGGAAGCTGCTGGTTCAGCTCCGAGAAAGAGGGAGTTCAGGCCTTAGAGGAACACAACCACAGGCGGCCAGGAGAGCTCGACCACCTCTCCCTCCTTGCTGGGATCAAGTGACTGGAGGGGTGGCAACTCCCCAGGCCCTGCTCTTGCTTTACCTCCTGGGGGACCCTGTGCAGGCTTTCATCTGCCTCATCTGTCAGGAGCAGCTGCGGTAAGTGGAGGTTCTAACCTACTCCAGTCCCCCAGCTGCCTTGCACAGGGCTGAGACCAGGTCAGGGTCCAGGGAAGGTGTTAGAGGTCAGCATCTGGATATCCGGGGCCGCGGAAGTGAGGGCTGCCCCCCTTGTGTAGGGGCAGATCAGTCCAGGAGGTTCAGTTCCTGTAAGAGCCTGCCCCCCCTTATCTTTGTGCTCTCAGAGGCGAACATGGTGGTGGCCCAGGTATCCGCAGTCACCTCCCACCCTCAGCCACCAGCCACACACCTCTGCCTGCCACCACTGCCCACCTCCACCCCCGCCTCCCAACACACTCTCAGGGAGAGGGTTCAAGGACACAGTGCTCAGGCAGCCCAGGGCCATGGTGGCAGCAAGGCCTTATTGTTGTCTTGGCAACTGAATAGAGGTCTCCTGGTACCAAGGAGAACCCAGAGGCCCCTTCAGCGTTTCTTGGCGCCCTGGCCCTGCTGCCCCAGAAATAATGACTTCCTATAAATTGTTAAACCAAGATGAACGGTTAGCATATCAGAGAAATATACTTAGTGTTTTCAAAGTGCATTCCCTGAAACAGCACATCAGCATCACCACTCTGCGAACTTGTTCCAAATGCAATTCTCTGCCCCCAAACCAGCTCTCGCGGATCCCACCCTGGAGGGGGTTGGGGGTGAGCGCGCCGGTCCTGCCTGAACAGGCTTCCAGGTGATTGCGCAGTGCTCAGGTTTGATACCTGCTGCCCTGCAGCGGAACCTTGGCCCGATTTCATTCCATGTTGAGTGCCAACGCTTCGCTTTCGGGAACAGGTGTCTTTAGCTCAAAAACACACAAAAAGTAGTTTGGGGAACACCTTACGCTCTCAAAAGGACTTGGATTTATTTAAGGAAAACTGGGGGAGGTCCCGATCCAGCAGAGCAGCCAGCGAATGCGGGCGCCCGGCTGCCCGTTCCAGGCCCCCACGCCCGGGTCCCCCAGCGGCCGCCCTCGCACCGCACCGCACCGCACCCGGCAGGCCCCGCTGCCCCGGCCCGACGGCGGCCCCGCTGCGCAGACGAGGCCGACGGCCGGGAGCGGTTCACGGGCGCCCGCAGGCGACTCGGTGCGCTCGGACTGGCCGTCTCCGGACGCGGGCCTGGAAGCCCCGCGGGCCGGCCGGGCGGCCCCGAGCCGCGAGCCCCGAGGGCGCAGCCGCCCCGCCTCGCCCCGCCCCGCCCCGCCCGCCCGGAGCCCGGGGCCGCCCGCGTCGCCGC